CAGCAAAACGGCCCCAAATTCACACCAAAACACCCCAAAATCACACCAAAAATTCACACCATAACGGCCCCAAAATCACACCAAAATACCCTAAAAGTGCCCCAAAAATTTACACCAAAATCACAGCAAAACGGCCCCAAAATCACAGCAAAATACCCCAAAAGTGCCCCAAAAATTTACACCAAAATCACAGCAAAAACGGCCCAAAATCACAGCAAAATACCCTAAAATCACACCAAAAGTGCCCCAAAAATTCACACCAAAATACCCCAAAATCACAGCAAAAACGGCCCCAAAATCACAGCAAAATACCCTAAACTGCCCCAAAAATTTACACCAAAATCACAGCAAAATACCCTAAAACTGCCCCAAAAATTCACACCAAAATCACAGCAAAACGGCCCCAAAATCACAGCAAAATACCCTAAAAGTGCCCCAAAAATTTACACCAAAATCACAGCAAAAATGGCCCCAAAATTACAGCAAAATGCCCTAAAATCACACCAAAATGGCCCCAAAAATTCATAGCAAAATACCCCAAAATCACAGCAAAACGGCCCCAAAATCACAGCAAAATACCCTAAAAGTGCCCCAAAAATTTACACCAAAATCACAGCAAAACGGCCCCAAAATCACAGCAAAATACCCTAAAAGTGCCCCAAAAATTCACACCAAAATCACAGCAAAACGGCCCCAAAATCACAGCAAAATACCCTAAAATCACACCAAAAATTCACACCATAACGGCCCCAAAAACACCCCAAAATCACAGCAAAACGGCCCCAAAATCACACCAAAACGGCCCCAAAAACACAGCAAAATACACCAAAACGGCCCCAAAATCACAGCAAAAACGGCCCCAAAATCACAGCAAAATACCCTAAACTGCCCCAAAAATTCACACCAAAATCACAGCAAAATACCCTAAAATCACACCAAAACGGCCCCAAAAATTTACACCAAAATCACAGCAAAAACACCCCAAAAACACAGCAAAATACCCTAAACTGCCCCAAAAATTTACACCAAAACGGCCCCAAAATCACAGCAAAATACCCTAAACTGCCCTAAAAATTTACACCAAAATACACCAAAATCACAGCAAAATACACCAAAACGGCCCCAAAAATTTACACCAAAATCACAGCAAAAACGGCCCCAAAATCACAGCAAAAACACCCTAAAAGTGCCCCAAAAATTTACACCAAAATCACACCAAAACGGCCCCAAAAATTCATAGCAAAATACCCTAAACTGCCCCAAAAATTTACACCAAAATCACAGCAAAACGGCCCCAAAAACACAGCAAAATACCCTAAACTGCCCCAAAAATTTACACCAAAACGGCCCCAAAATCACAGCAAAATACCCTAAACTGCCCTAAAAATTTACACCAAAATACACCAAAATCACAGCAAAATACACCAAAACGGCCCCAAAAATTTACACCAAAATCACAGCAAAAACGGCCCCAAAATCACAGCAAAAACACCCCAAAATCACAGCAAAATACCCCAAAACTGCCACAAAAATTTACACCAAAACGGCCCCAAAATCACACCAAAACACCCCAAAATCACACCAAAACGGCCCCAAAATCACAGCAAAATACCCTAAAATCACACCAAAAGTGCCCCAAAAATTCATAGCAAAATACCCCAAAATCACAGCAAAACGGCCCCAAAATCACAGCAAAATACCCTAAAAGTGCCCCAAAAATTTACACCAAAACTGCCCCAAATTCACCCCAAAATACCCCAAATTCACACCAAAACGGCCCCAAATTCACACCAAAATACACCAAATTCACCCCAAAATACCCCAAATTCACCCCAAAGGATCCCTAAAATCTGCTCCGGGAACCTCGAAAATCATTTTCACCCATTTTAACTCATTTTATCCCAATTTAACCCAATTTAACCCCATTTTCACCCATTTTAACCCCATTTTAACCCCATTTTCACCCATTTTAACCCCATTTTAACCCCATTTTAACCCATTTTGACCCATTTTAACCCAATTTAACCCCATTTTAACCCAATTTAACCCCATTTTAACCCAATTTAACCCATTTTAACCCAATTTAACCCCATTTTCACCCATTTTATCCCCATTTTAACCCATTTTAACCCAATTTAACCCCATTTTTCCCATTTTAACCCATTTTAATCCCATTTTTACTCTATTTTAATCCATTTTAACCCAATTTAACCTCATTTTTCCCCATTTTAACCCATTTTATCCCATTTTATCCCCATTTTTCCCCATTTTAACCCCATTTTTCCCCATTTTTCCCCCATTTTAACCCATTTTCCTCCCATTTTAACCCATTTTAACCCATTTTAACCCCATTTTCACCCATTTTTCCCCATTTTAATCCCATTTTTCCCCATTTTTCCCCATTTTAACCCCATTTTAGCCCAATTTTCACCCATTTTTTCTCCATTTTAACCCATTTTATCCCATTTTCACCCCATTTTAACCCATTTTAACCCAATTTAACTCCATTTTCACCCATTTTCACCCATTTTATCCCATTTTAACCCCATTTTTCCCCATTTTAACCCATTTTAATCCCATTTTAACTCTATTTTAACCCATTTTAACCCAATTTAACCTTATTTTTCCCCATTTTAACCCATTTTATCCCATTTTATCCCCATTTTTCCCCATTTTTTCCCCATTTTAACCCATTTTCCTCCCATTTTCACCCATTTTCCTCCCATTTTAACCCATTTTTCCCCATTTTTCCCCATTTTTCCCCATTTTTCCCCATTTTAATCCCATTTTTCCCCATTTTTCCCCATTTTAACCCCATTTTAGCCCAATTTTCACCCATTTTTTCCCCATTTTAACCCATTTTATCCCATTTTAACCCCATTTTAACCCATTTTAACCCAATTTAACCCAATTTAACCCCATTTTTTCCCCTTTTTTCCCCATTTTTCCCCATTTTAACCCATTTTAACCCATTTTAACCCCATTTTTCCCCAATTTAACCCATTTTAATCCCATTTTAACCCCATTTTAACCCATTTTAACTCAATTTAACCCCATTTTAACCCCATTTTTACCCATTTTCACCCATTTTAACCCAATTTATCCCATTTTTTCCCCATTTTTCCCCATTTTTCCCCATTTTTCCCCATTTTAATCCCATTTTAACCCCATTTTTCCCCATTTTAACCCATTTTAACCCCATTTTTCCCCAATTTAACCCATTTTAATCCCATTTTAACTCATTTTAACCCCGTTTTTTCCCGTTTTTTCCCATTTTTTCCCCATTTTAACCCATTTTTCCCCAATTTCCCCATTTTTCCCCCCAGACTGGTCGGAGGGCCCGCAGTGCCAGCGCTGCCGCCCCGGCAGAGGCTCCCAAACCCCATTTTAACCCAATTTAACCCAATTTTCACCCATTTTATCCCAATTTAACCCAATTTAACCCCATTTTAACCCATTTTAACTCCATTTTCACCCATTTTAACCCAATTTAACCCAATTTAACCCCATTTTAACCCATTTTAACCCATTTTAACCCATTTTTCCCCATTTTTCTCCATTTTAACCCATTTTAATCCCATCTTAACCCATTTTAACCCCATTCTCACCCATTTTAATCCCATTTTAACCCCATTTTCACCCATTTTAACCCATTTTAACCCATTTTAACCCCATTTTAACCCCATTTTTCCCCATTTTAACCCATTTTAATCCCATTTTAACTCATTTTAACCCCGTTTTTTCTCATTTTTTCCCATTTTAACCCCATTTTAACCCCATTTTTCCCCATTTTATCCCATTTTAACCCATTTTATCCCATTTTAACCCCATTTTCCTCCCATTTTTTCCCCATTTTTCCCCATTTTAACCCAATTTAACCCCATTTTCACCCATTTTAATCCCATTTTAACTCATTTTAACCCCGTTTTTTCCCGTTTTTTCCCATTTTTTCCCCATTTTCACCCATTTTAACCCATTTTTTCCCCATTTTAACCCGTTTTTTCCCCATTTTAACCCCATTTTTCCCCATTTTAACCCATTTTAACCCCATTTTCCACCCATTTTCACCCATTTTAATCCCATTTTTCCCCATTTTAACCCCGTTTTTTCCCGTTTTTTCCCCATTTTAACCCAATTTTTCCCCCCAGACTGGACGGAGGGCCCGCAGTGCCAGCGCTGCCGCCCCGGCAGAGGCTCCCAAACCCCATTTTAACCCATTTTAACCCATTTTAATCCCATTTTAACTGTATTTTAACCCATTTTAACCCATTTTAACCCAATTTAACCTCATTTTACCCCATTTTTTCTCCATTTTTTCCCATTTTAACCCCATTTTAACCCATTTTAACCCAATTTAACCC